TGCTGGTACATGGCCCTTTTGTGACCCAGAAAAGGACCTTAGCTACTTTGATATTTATGTTTGAATAAGTATATTTCCTGAAGAGGGCTGCTAAACTATATACACTTTAGGCCCCACAAAATGAGGATTTACCCTTGAACTCAGGAAAGTTATTGAATTTAATAATTTGTGTAGCTACTTTCCTTGACATCCTTGTGAGATGGCACCCTGAAGCTTCAATGGCCACACACTAGTCAATTTGGTTCCCTAAGATGCAGTTCATAAAATCCTACCACCCTCCTCGTCCCTTACATAGTCTTCACAGGTCATTTCCTCTATAAAGCCAGTCTTTCCAGCCTAAGGGTACAATTAGGCCAAAACAATAAAGGAGAATAAGTAGATGATTCAATTTCCTCTGCTCTAAAAGAGGGATCACATTAATGTGGGAAGCTGATACCTCATGGTCTTAGTTCTAAGTAGGAAACAAAAGTTGAGGAAAATCATTAGGAGGTTCTATGTACACAGCAATCATTTAAAAAGCCTGCTTAAATATGGATTCCAGGGCCAACTCCATGAGGGTTACATGATCCTGACCCAAGGATAACAATTTAAGAACCAGTTCCATAATGCAAGGATTCTGAATCTTCCGGGGTTCAGATCCCTTGAACGATCTTTCCATATTCACATATTTAAAATATTAATATAGGGGTTGTATTAGTTTATTATGGCTGTGGTATAACAAAAATACCATGGACTGGATGGTTTAAACAACATATATATATACATATATATAAATATATATGTATATATATTTATCATAGATTTAGAGGCTGGAAGTCTAAGATCAAAGTGTTAGGAAGACTAGTTCCACTGTCCTTGGTCTGTAGATGGCTACCTTCAGGCTGTGACTCACATGGTATTTCCTTTCTAGGCATGCATCTCTGATGTCTGTGTGACCAAATTTCCTCTTTTCATAAGGATACCAATCACATTAAATCAGGGTCCACCCTAGAGGCCTCATTTTAACTTAATCACACCTTTAAAGGTCTTATTTCCAAATATAGTCATATTTGAGGTCCTGGGGTTAAGGCTTAAATGTATGAATTTTAGGGGACATCCAGTCCATAATAGATTATTCTATGGATTCCATACTTAGGCTCTCTAGCTTAGACATTCCTTCACAGGAAATCAGAGCACGTAGATGATCTAACTGAGAGAAAAAGAAGAGGGCCATATGGTGAACACCACAGTTAGTTGGGGAAAGACATCCAGGCAGAGAGGAAAACCATTAATTTGACTAGAAAGGGGAGATAATAATGGTCTTAAAAACGTGTGTGTGTAGTAGCAATCTCTTACTTGACACATCCCCAAAAGCAAAAGAATCAAGAGCAAAAATAAACTGTTGGGACCTCATCAAGATTAAAAGCTTCTGCACAGCAAAGGAAACAATCCACAAAACTAATAGGCACCCAAAGGAATGGGAAAAGATAGTTGCAAATGACATATCAGATAAAGGGTTAATATCCAGAATCTATAAGGAACTCAACAAATTCCACACCTGAAAAACAAACAACCCAGTGAAGAAATGGGCAGAAGATATGAACAGACACTTCTCCAAAGAGGACATCCAGATGGCCAACAGACACATGAAACGATGCTCAGCATCCCTCCTCATTAGGGAAATACAAATCAAAACCACACTGAGATATCACCTCACGCCAGTCAGAATGGCTAAAATGAGCAAATCAGAAGACTCTAGATACTGGCAAGGATGTGGAGAAACGGGCACCCTCCTACACTGTTGGTGGGAATGTAAACTGGTACAGCCCCTCTGGAAAACAGTGTGGAGGTTCTTAAAAAAAATAACAATAGAACTACCTTATGACCCAGCAATAGCACTGCTAGGAATTTACCCAAGGGATATAGGAGAGCTGATGCATAGGAGCACATGTACCCCAATGTTCATAGCAGCACTCTCCACAACATGGAAAGAGCCTAAGTGTCCATCAACTGATGAATGTATCAAGAAGATGTGGTTTATCTATACTATGGAATACTTCATGGCAATGAGAAATTATGAAATCTGGCCATGTGTAGCAACATGGATGGACCTTGAGGGTGTTATGCTGAGCGAAATAAGTCAGGCAGAGAAGGACAAATAACATATGTTTGCACGTATAGGAGGATTAGGAGGAACTTAACAGAGGACCGCGGGGGAGAAGAAGGGGGGAAATAGTGGCGGAGAGGGAGAGAGGCAAACCATGAGAGACTCCTGAGTGCTGAGAACAAACTGAGGACTGATGAGTGTTGGGGGGAGGGGGAGATGGGCATGGAGGAGGGCACTTGTAGGGATGAGCACTGGGTGTTATATGGAAACCAACTTGACAATAAACTAGTTGTAAAAATAAACAAACAAAAAAACCCCCATGTGTGTGTGTAATATAAATACTATATATATATATTACATACATAAAGAGACAGCATTTCCTTTAAGAACTACAGAGAAAATAAAACCAATGATGATAGTAAAAAGAAAAGAGTATGTGCTTCCGTTCCCTCTTGCCACTACTAAAATGACAGTAAAGGACACAGTCCAAAAAGGACAAAGAGAACTTGAGTGGAGAAGCCAAAGAAATGTCAGCAGCATTTTGGAAGTTCTATGACATATGGAAAAGTGTTGACTGTCTTTGCACACTAGAAAAGCTGAAATCTAAATGCTTGCAAGGTGAAGGGAGCCAATAAGCAAGCTGATTCATGAAAAAGAACTTTAGAAATGCTCAGGAATTCAAAGTCCCACAGTCTGTCTGAGAGTAGGAATAGTGGGTGTGGGTGAAATCAGGAGATTTCCAAAGTTTGGTCCAAAGTTTGTATAATAAATAGGCCAGAAAACCGATGGAAAGACAATCAAGAGGAAAAGAAAAAGAAGGGAAAACATTTAAAAAATAATGAACATTTTCCAGAGGGGAAGGCCATTAGGTGTCCTGTAGAAGGCCCAATGTGGATGAAAAAAGATCAACTCTGAGAGAAATTTGAAAAAAAATTTGAACACAGAGGTCTTGGGGTCAAAATTCAGGGCAGGATGCAGGAAACAGGTTACATACAAAATTTAGAAATTAGAAAGGCATCAGCTTCTCAGAAGCTACACTGAAAATCTGAAAATAATGGAACAATATCCTCAAAACTCTAAAGCCAATTCTTTTCATTCCAGAATTTTATATGCACCTATCAATTACATGTGAAGTTTGAATAATATTATTTTCAAACGTAAAACACTCAACATTTTATTTGACTCCTTCAAGACGCTACTAGAAGGCATACTTCAGTAAAAGGTCATAATAAGCTCAGAAGACTGTACAAATGAGACAGAGAGGAGGGTACTCCAAGATAATGGTGAAGTTAAACCCCAGGATGCTAGAAGTACCGGAATGGATACCTCGAGTCTAAAAAGCAGTGGGAGGATGGGCTAAATGGATGATGGGCATTAGGGAGGGTGACGGGTGTTATAAGTAAGCTATGAATCACTAAATTCTACTCCTGAAATTAAAAAAAAAAACTTGGACTAATGAAAATTGAAAGAAAGAGAAGTTTGGTAGAGAGTTTGGTGTTTGGTGAAAAATCAGTGAAAGTAATATAAAAAAATCTAAGTGAATGGAATACAAAGGGGAGTGGATACTATTTAATTTACCCAGAGGGGACAAAGAAGAAGTGGAATCTATTTTCCTAATTATACTAATCTAAATGGTTATTAGTAACTCAAAATTGTGCTATAGCTAAACTGGGAAGATGAGGGGACAGGTAACAGTGGGCTACGGGTACAGTGCAGAGACATTTTAGCTATGGTACTGCAAGAAAAGAAGGCTAACATCCTCATCTTTCTGATAAAAAAAAGTCAACAGATATTGTCTGAAATCAATGGTGTCAAGTACGAATAGTATAGAAATGTTATTTAGAAAATGGAGGTAAGAGGGGCGCCTGGGTGGCTTAGTCGGTTAAGCGTCCGACTTTCGCTTCGGTCATGATCTCGCGGTTCGTGGGTTCGAGCCCTGCGTCGGGCTCTGGGCTGACTGCCAGCTCGGAGCCTGGAGCCTATTTCAGAGTCTGTGTCTCCCTCTCTCTCTGACCCTTTCCTGCTCACGCTGTCTTTCTCTCTCTCTCCTAGAAGTAAATAAAAAAATTTAAAAAAATGGAGGTAAGAATCAGAAGAAACAAGAGTTTGAAACGATTTTCTCTAGGAATTAGGAACTGGCAGAGATGAAGGGATACTGTTTTTCATCATAAATTCTTTTAAGTTAATTTAAAAACTATGGACATTGATCATTTTGACAAACATAAAAAGTTAATGTGTATTATAAAGAAAATACATTATGTAATACTTTTATACCAAAAAATACTGTTGTTTAAATATTTCTGCGTGTTTTAAAATTGATTTGGGTCTGAAAAAAAATTTAGTTCAACTCAACTCTGTATAAACACAGACTCAAAACGTGCTGTCTTTCTCATCACAGTTAAGCACTGCTTGAAAATGATGGGCACTTGCCTATTTTAATATACTTTAACCCACCAAGTTTAAGGAGCATCCACCTAAATCAGCGATATTACCAAGAGAACATCAAGGGTTAACCATAGCAAGATCACACATCCATATTTCTTTAGGCTAGGGTCTTTGTAGTAATAAAACCTAGGTGGATTGATGGTAAAAGCATGTTCAAACCAAACCCAGATCTCAGAACAGTGGGTGTGGTGACAAGGGCCATTATGCAAACAGTAGTGTCAAACACACTAACCTGAAGTCTTCTGGTAATACAGAGATCAATGCTGTGCTAGAAAAGTTCATTTTTGATAATTTATAAACTTCTTTCAAAATAACTTCATTTTTAATGAATATTTTATTTCTTTCAATAATCATTGAGAATATTAAATTGGCCAACAATCAAAAAACTAATTCAAGTAACACCATGCAAGAAGTTATCTCCCTCACCCTTTTTCTTTCCCTCCTGATATACAGTCTGATGTTTCCATACCTCTCGATAGCCATTGCTGATTTGTTCCAAATTGAGAGAATACACAAGATCCTTGCCTCCCACAAAGAGTCTCTCTTGATATTCATCCAGCAGCATTGAATGGAGATCAAGAAACCCAAAAGGACTATGAAAGACTGATGTTCGGTTTAGATCCAGGAGTTCTGAAAGGCAAAAAAAAAAATGTTCGTTCAACAAAAGTCAAAATACCAATATCTTTGCAACACTTTTTTTTTTTATGGCTCTACTGTCATGCCTACTGGAATTGTGTAGTTAACATTCATCCACTATAAAGTCTTTAGAATTTATTACTTAAAGGATTAAAAATATGCAGTGCATTAACAATACCATATTGCATATTTGAAAGTTGCTAAGAGAGTAGATCTTGAAAGTTTTCATCACAAGAAAAGAATTCTATGTGATATAATGGATGTTCATTAACCTTGCTGTAGTAGTCTGTTCATAATATGTGTGTATATCAAATAAAATTGTGCACTTAAAATTTATACAATGCTATACATTAATATTTTCTTGATAAAACTAGAAAAATTTAAAAAAATTGTTCAACCAGTAAAAAAGTGTAACTGGGTATAAATTTTAATGCACACAATTAAAATCTTTTATAAATTTGTGAACCAAAAAACCTCAATTCAGGGTGCCTAGGTGGCTCAGTCATTTAAGTGTCCAACTTCAGCTCAGATCATGATCTTGCATTTTGTGAGTTCGAGCCCCACATCGGGCTATGTGCTGACAGCTCAGAGCCTGGAGACTGCTTCAGATTCTGTGTTTCCCTCTCTCTCTGCCCCTCCCCTGATCACACTGTCTCTCTGTCTCTCTTTCTCTCAAAAATAAATATTAAAAATATTTAAAAAAACCCTTCAATATGAAAGATAAATATCTTGTGTTTTTACATAAAGAAAGAATTATCGTTCACAATCTTTATGTAAAGTACTATGTGGAAGAGTCATTTTATTGTGACTTTTATCCTTACTTCTTTATGCTTAACTAAAATTGCAAATCTACAAAAAATATTCTATTTTTTTCACAAAAAAATATTCTAGAAGAGATTAATTGCATTTAATTCCAGATGAACACCAACTCATCAAAAAATGTCTCCACTTAAAACTGGTTTTGAGAGTCACATCTACAATCAAATTGTCCATATCTGGAAACTATCAGGGTGGTTAATACAATGGGGTGACACATGATGGTATTCAGTTCAGACAACTGATAAAACTGTTGGGGATTTTTTTCTACCACTGGGATTTGGGCTAGTCTTTATGATTTATGCCCACAGAAGAAATTACAAATTATTTGTTTCAACTAATATACATTTACTTTTAGAAAGTCACATTCTGGCAAACCTCTCATGTGTGTGCATTTGTTTGTTTGTTCAAGGTATTTAACTCCATATGGCAGTTCAGTACTTAAGCTTCGAAAGTAATACATGACAGCCTTCTCCTGATGAGAGGATATTGCCCCTAATACCAGACCCTGCATGCTAAAAATTCCCAAAAGAGGCCTTTTGGGAAATACTGACAGGTGAGAAGATAGCTTCATTATCCAAAGGTCAAATCCTAATGCATCTGACAAAGAATGTGAAATAGTGGTAACTAGAACACTAAAATCCAGATAGTGGTATGAAATGTGACACATCTGTATAGTTTTTTTGCCCACTCTTCTTCTGAAAAATGAGAGATGAAATACTTTTGCCCTCTCTATTAAAAATATGGTCATTGGGGCACCCACGTGGCTCAGTCGGTTAAGCTGACTGACTTCAGCTCATGGTTCATGGGTTCGAGCCCTGCATGACACTGTGTGCTGACAGCTCAGAGCCTGGAGCCTGCTTCAGATTCGGTGTCTCCCTCTCTCTCTGCCCCTCCTCATTCACATTCTGCCTGTGCTTCTCAAAAGTAAACATTGAAAAAAAAAAAATTAAAAATATCTTCAGTGTCTATATCTCTACTCTAAAACTGTGGATGTTCAAAATTTTGTGGAGTATGGCTAAGTTTAAACCTTCAATTTAATACACCTGAAATTAATGTAACATTGGGTATCAGCTGTACTCAAATTTTAAAAATTAAAAACCCTTTAGTTTAAAATAACCAATACTGCTAACATCAAAGCATCTCTTATAAAGGTAGAATTAATGATGAGTCATTTGACTCTTCACCTAAATAAAGACTGTAAGAACAAGTTTTGAGGGAAGGATGCACAGAATAATAAAGTGCTTTATTTGGGGAGGAAGAAACATGAATCTGAGAGACTGGGGATTCAGAATCTTGGAAGACAGATTTTTCCCATTTACTAATTTTGTCAAGGTAAAATCATATTTTTTCCTTCCTTACTAGGCATCCACCAACAGGAAGAGATGCACATTTTCTAATTATTAAGGTTTTTTAAAAAAATGTTTTATTTATTTCTGAGACAGAGAGAGACAGAACATGAGCAGAGAAGGGGGCGGGGGGGAGACACAGAATCCGAAGCAGGCTCCAGGCTCTGAGTTGTCAGCACAGTCCGACATGGGGCTCGAATTCACAAATCATGAGATCATGACCTAAAATGAAGTTGGATGTTTAACCAACTGAGCCACCCAGGCACCCAACAAGAGATGCACATTTTAAGGATCCAGTATCCAAGCAAAAATATGAATCAATACTGTCTACTTCCATTACACTTTGTCTTTATATATAAAAATTTACGGTTTTATGTCAGGGGTGCTAAATGGACTCTTTTTCAGAAAAGGTTCCCCAGTTATTCCAATAAGTTGTTAAAATTCTACAAGTTTTATGTACAGTGAAATAATTACCTGAAAGGACACAATTCATCAAAGAATGGTTACATGTTATCTAGAATTAACAGGCCTCTAAGCCAAATACAGTAAGGTGCAGAGTCTGGGTGGTTAAGTTTGCTGGAAAATAAGACCAAGTGATGAAAAGAATACAATATAAGAGCATACCCTAAAATGTTGCCAAAGAGTATAGTCTAGCCCATATTTAAAAGTATGAATTGAAATGAAGGGCAGCTCAACCAGTAAAGGAGGCATCCATGAATCAATTCCACCTAAAGATCACCTTGCTTATTTCCCAATGAGGTCATTAGGATCTCATTAATCCCTGTATACACAGAGAGAGATAGCCATTAACATCTACTTGTTTTTATGACTTGTCAATTTCTGCTATGCTTACTGTAATTTTCATAGTCTAAAGGTGGTAGTTCCGGTTTCTTTGTCTGTAATAATAGAGACTAATTACTGACTCATCAATCTTATTTTATCCTGAATGTATCAGCTTTTATTCTGACCCATCTGCCTATCTCTGTGGCTAAGTCTGCCCCATGAGATCACAAAGATACACTCATGCTCCTATGGAGAAATAGTTTGGAAAATGAAAAGAGAAAAAAAAAAACTGAAATGAAAATGAAAAGAAAAAGAGAAAAAAAATGAAATGTACATTCAACAAGTACAATTTTTTAAAACTATTCATTTCTCATGGCCTTTACATGTATCTTTTTTTCCTCCCCACAACAGTGATCAACCACAGTATAATAGTTAAAATTACTACTAACCTTTATTTTACTGATAGAGAAACTCAGGTGCCCAGAAATTAAATGACTACCCTCTACACACATTATTACAGTGAAAAATTACTCAAATTACCAAAAAATCCCATGAAAATTAAAGTACAACAGAAGTGTATGTCATCACAGAAAGTCCTATAGACTGAGAAACTGAAAAGCCACATTCAGGTCTTAGCTTTGCCGTTAATTGCCTGAGTCACCTTGAATAACCACTTAGCCTCTTTATTGAATAATGGTGAGACTGACTTCATTACATGTTAATCACCCTTCAGCATTCAAAATTATTAATTCTTTGACTACATTGCATTTCTAGAGTGGAGGTCATAAAAATACTGTAAAAAAATAAACCCAACACCTAAGATACGTTTGGGTACATTAAACTGAGTATCACATACACGCTTCAGGCAGTAACTCAAGAAATTTCATAACTTATGTAGACACTACTAGAATAATTCCTAAAGTCACATTAACTTTTTAAACTTTTAAGACCCAATGAACAGACTATCATTTTCTTTAACATTTTGACAATAATGAGAGAAGTGTCCCGAATTGCTTCTCCAAGTCTCCACTTCGACCATCACCATATCACATAATAGTGCCAGTAACTGATTGTTCAAGCATGTCAGTAGATACATTTTTTCAGAATCATGATACTAACCAAAACCTATCAATGTGATTATTTATATTTTCCTTATCAATTTCTACAAGTATAAATCCTTACTGTGATCCTTAATTTTCTCTAAGACACAAACTGTCCTTCTTAGCTGAGTCTCCAACAACCCTGACTTTAAGTCAGAAAAGGTCAAAAGTATGTGTTACGAGTAAATACCTGTGTTTTGAACATATATCTACATATACCTGGAATAATGGACACAGAGGCATTCTACAAGAGAAACATTTTTTAAAAGACTCATGCTTCAAGATTAACTCCAATTTTCTACTCTTATTTGATTATTTAACTTGCCTCTTCCCAAAAGGATCTGAGATGACTTATGCAAATACATTCAATTTAACAAATAAATATAATGCTAGAGGTATCAAGATGAAGGAGAAAAATAAAGAAAATGACATTATAATTAATTTTATTAACTGAAAGTTATTCTTTAATATCCCTATACATTATTGAAGGGAATTACAAAATGGACCCCTGATTTCCTAAAATTCAAAGTAAAAGTCACTGTAACACAATAGAAAAACTGTGTCAGTTGCTTAGGAATGTTGCTTGGTGTGATGGGTAATCTTACTATGAACTTGACCAGATCAGGACTGCCCAAACACTTGGCTAAGCATTACTTCTGAGTGTATCTGCTAAGGTGTTTCTGGATGATAGTAGCATTTAATTGACGGACTAACTAAAGCAATATGGGAGGACATAATCCAATGTGTTGAAGATATGACTAAAACAAAAGGTAGAGGAAGGAAGAACCCACTCTTTTTTTTTTTTCCTCTAGCTGTCTGACTAAGCTGGAATATCACTTTTCTCCTGCCTCAGACTGAGACTTACATCATCAACTCCCCTGGTTGTTACGCCTTTAGACTCTAACTAAATCACCATCCTTCCTGGCTCTCTACCTTGCAGACAGAA